TAATTTTTTTATTTATCGTAGAGATGAGGTCTCACCATGTTGCCCAGGCTGGTCTCAAACCCACAGGCTCAGGGAATCCACTCACCTTGGCCTCCCAAAATGCTGGGATTATAGGCTTGAGTCACTGTGCCCAGTCAGGACATGAATCCTGGGGACACTATTCAACCTAGTATAGTCTGTCACCCTCTGGCCCTCCCAAATTTATTTCTGCCACATATGCAAAATACATTCACCCCATCCCTATATCCCTCAAAGGTTAACCTGGCATCATTCCAGCATCAACTCTTAATCTAAAATATCATCTAAATAGACACTCAAAAAGTTCCACATCTTATCACTTAAATAATCTAAATCAGGTATAGACTTTGATTATGGTCCATCCTGGGGCAAAATTCTTCTTCGTCCACAGGTTTGTGAAACATCCAACCACCAAAGTCTGGTTTGTTTCTTCTTTTTTTTGAGTCGGAGTCTCACTTTTTCACCCAGACTGGAGTACAGTGGCATGCTCATGGCCACCACAGCCTTAACCCTCTGGGCTCAGGTGATCCTTCCGTTTCAGCTTTCCAAGTAGCTGGAACTGCAGGCATGCACTGCCATGCCTGGCTGATTTTTCTTGATTTATTGTAGAGATGAGGTCTTGCCAAGTTGCCCAGACTGGTCTTGAACCCATGGGCTCAGGCAATCCTCTCACCTTGGCCTCCCAAAGTGCTGGGATTATAGGTGTGAGCCACAGCACAGGGCAAAGTCTGGTTTTTGATCCCATAAGACGTGGGTAAGGGCAGGGACTGTCCTATTAACAACAGCACTGACTCTGGTATTTAGGATACCAGACACCTTGCTTATGCCCACCTTGCTGACACCTTGCTTATGCCCAGTTAATATTGAACAAAGAAAAGAGTTCTCTGAGGATCAAATGGGATCATGAAAACAAAAAATTTTTAGAAATTATGCGATAAAATTAGAGTTTCTTTAGGCTATACTGGCTTATAGAGAAAATTAGTCCCCAGGTAAATCAGCCTCAAGAAAAAGGTTGAGTCCTTTGTCTTGGAAGAAAACCAAGACTGTAGGTACTCGTTGGTCTATAAAGGTAAGAGAATGGCTGAGGTGGTTTTGGAGGGCCTATCTAGCTTTCCAATTCCATAAGCAAATGAAGATGGGGAATTTCTTGGCTTTATCTTAAACCAAAAGCTAACTGTCTACACTTGTACCTGTTTCCCCCCTCTACTTTCATCTACTGTTGATATCCTGCAAGGAATGTTCTCCTGACAGGGTTGGCTACATAATTTGTGGGGCTTAGTGAAAAATAAAAACGCACAGTCACTTGTTCAAAGATTAAGAATTTTTCATGGCGCCAGTGGAGCTTTAAACCAAGTGCAGGATCCTTCCAAGGGTTGGCCCTTTGTGAGGGCACTCTCTCAGAAATCAGGGGCCTGAGGGGCCACATTTGTCCACCTTTGACTCCAGCCCAGGCTTACTTTTGCTGACTGTGACAGCCTCTGGGTGGAGGGGAATCATCTTAGCTTGTGCTCTTTACGTAAGGACTTTCTTTAAAGAGCGTAAGGGCTCATCTCAATTGTACCCAAGATGTTTGACAAGACAAAAGTAAACTGCTTATTAAAAGAAGGGAAACCAAAGCATGGAGAAGTTGATTGTGTCGCTCAGGATCACTGAAACTAGCACATATGGGCACTTGGAACCAAAGGCCTCTGGAGTTCTGTACCCTTGACTTTAAGTGTGGGCTAATTCCAAGCAGCCAACATGCCCACGTGTACTTTTCTTGAGGGTGGTGTTCCTATACTTTTCTTTCCCTCCATGTCATATCTGCCACGAAGTTTCTAGAGGGGGTTCCCACTTCTGCCCTCCAGAGACAGCAGGCTTGGTCTCTACCCTCACACTCCACCATCCAATAAGGCCAGATTGTCAATAGCCCAGGGGGGGCTCACAGCACAAAACCTCCATGGACTTTGGTCACTTGACTCCCCTTTCCCTGGCCCCATCTAGCCACAGCCGTCTCAGTCACAGCACGATGACAGGAGCTAGAGAGGTGCAGGTTGATGACAGTTAATTTTGTTGTTGTCTTTCTTGTTGACTGCACTTTGGTAGAGATGTGCTTTAACCAAATTATTTCAAAGCAATGAGTGTCACTCTGGTTTAGATATTTGCAGCCAATTATGTTTAATGTGAAAGACGACAGTCAGGTTACAATGTGCCAAGCCGCTCTGGCCTGCCAAGCTCCATGGAGTCGGGATGTGCTCCCAGACCCAATGGCTGGGGAGCCCCTGCTGTCATCGGCAAGGTGATGTCCTGCCTCTCCCAGCCAAGCTCTCCTCGCCCCTGCCTCATGCTCCATCGCTGGCCTCCGCTTTGGCTTATTTTTATGTGATCCTCTTCTAAAGTGGGAGATGGGGATGAGGGAGCAGGACCCTGCACTCAACTTGGAGGTCTGGTCAGGTCAAGAGATGTAGCCATGCTGTAGTGGGAAAGAGTACTGGGCTTGGAATCGGGAGATGTGAGGGCACATCCCAGCTCTGCCACTTGGCGGGCCTATTCACCCAGGGGGCTGAGCTTTATTTTTGAAAACCTAGGCTAGGCGCTATGGCTCACACCTGTAATTTCAGCACTTTGGGAGACTGAGGCGGGAAGAGTGCTTGAGCTCAAGAGTTCAGTATGAGCTGGGCAACATAGGGAGACACTATCTCTACCAAAAAAATTAAAAAATGACTTGGACATAGTGGTACACACCTGTAGTCCCAGCTACTTGGGAGGCTGAGGCAGAAGAATCATCTGAGTCCAGGAGGTTGAGGCTGTGGTGAGCCGTGATCATGTCACTGCTCTCCAACCTGGGTGACAGAGTTAGACCCCCAACTCAAACAAAGAAAAAGAAAATATAGGAAGTGGAAGATGTTATCTACCAACAAGTGACAAGTTTGCCGTGAGCATTAAATCCCATCGTATGTGTGAAAGCATCTAGCATACTATCTGACTTGTAGAAAGCATTCCATTGTTTGGCAAATCAGAGGAATGGGAGATTTCAGACATTATTTTTGTCCAAATATAACAGCAAAGGACCCAAAAAGTTCTTTTGCTCAATAAACATTTATTTAATCCCCACCATAAGATAGGTCTTGTTTTTGGCCCTGTGGGGGTTTATCACCACCCCAGAGTCAGCATGAGATGAGAGTCCATGGTCTAGTGGGGAAGCAGCCTTGCCATTCCCTGATTTCTCTTTAGGAAGGATGAGAATAGAGTATGTGTTTATTAAAGACACTTCCCATCACTATCCCAAAGAAGCTAGGTATAAAAAATGGCAGCATGGGTGGGGTGCAGTGGCTCATGTCTGTGATGCCAGCACTTTGCGAGGCCGAGGCGGGAGGATTGCTTGAATCCTGGAGTTCGAGACCAGCTTGGACAACATAGCAAGACCTCATTTCTACAAAAAATAAAAAAAATTAGCTGGGTATGGTAGCAGTCCCAGCTACTCGGGAGGCTGAGGCAGAAGGATTGCCTGAGCCCAGGAGACCGAGGCTGTGATGAGCAGTGATCATTGTGATCCTGCCACTGCACTCCAGCCTGGGTGACAGAGTGAGACGCTGACTCTAAAAACAAAAAAGGCAACATGAATGGCCATTTATGAGACTCAAATTCCAAGCTACAAGAGTCACTCAACAGCACTGTATGGCCAGCATAGTGTAGGTCAGTGGGACAGCTGCAGGTGACCCCAGTGAAGACCCACTTGCCCCTCTCTTTTCTGCCTGTACCCTTGGAGACTGAGCTGTGGCCTGCAGAGATGGGATCCTTGGTCATGGCTGGCCCGGTTGGGGGCAGGGCAGGTAGAGGGAGCAGTGGCCAGAGACTGGAGGGAGGAGAGTGAGTGAACTTCTCTATTTCCCTCCCAGTGGAGTCCTCCTGGGCTGGCCGCCACCTTAGGAGGAAGCCACAGCCCCTGTCTGGCACAGAGAAACAGATGTCTCTCCTCACATCTGTTTACCAGACCAACCCTTGGCCCCTTTAAGCCCAAGGGTAGTAACGGGCCATCCAGTCTCCCCAAAGCCCGGGGGCACTACCTTTCTTCCTGTGGTTTCCCTGTGCCCTGCCCACACTTTGCCAATAGTCTCTTTTTTCAAGTCCTCTTCAGACTTCCCAATTTAACTTTGTGCGTTTTAGTCCTACTCAGGCTCTGATAGACACACAGGGGCTAAGGAGTCCATAATCCAAGTAAGGACATCGACTAAACTGAAAACAATACAGGCCAGGCATGGTGGCTCAGACTGTAATCCCAGCACTTTGGGAGACCAAGGTGAGAGAAATGCCTGAGCCCAGGGGTTCAAGACCAGCCTGGGCAACTTGGTAAGACCTCATCTCTACAATAAATCACAAAAACTAGCTGGGTGTGGTGGCATGCGTCTGTAGTCCCAGCTGCTTAGAAGGCTGAGGTGGAAGGATCGCCTAAACCCAACAGGTTGAGGCTACAGTGGCCGTGAGCGTGCCAATGCACTCCAGCCTGGACAACGAGAGTGAGACTCCACCTCAAAAAAAGAAAAAAAAAAGAAAGAAAGAAAACAATGCAATATCTTGCATAATAAGTAGTTTAAGAAAGAAGATTTTGGTTTTAAAACCATTTCTCACTTACAGCTGTGAGTTTAAACAAGGAATTTAACCTCTTGGAACCTCAGTTTTCTTGTTTGTAAAACTGAGATGATGATACCACCAGCCCTTAAAGTTGCAAGGATTGAATAAAGTAAGCATAAGTCTAGTGCCTGGCACACAGCAAACGGTAAATAAATGCTAGCTGCAGCATCTTGCTATAATGATTAATAATATTACTATTAGCTCTATGCAAAAGCTTAAAGGATTTTTATTTTTAAATTTTCTAAACCAGTGGTCCCCAACCTTTTGGCAAAACTGCTAGGATTTCAGGGAGCATTCCTGGCTATGGATTCAGCCAAACATTAGCCTGTTGGCTGAGATCCTCTTCTCATCAGATCTCTTGTCTCCGGCAGGTAGTGATTCGCCGGCACCCACTGGTCTATGTCGTGAGACTGCTGATTCCCAGCATCTTCCTCATGCTGGTGGACCTGGGGAGCTTCTACCTGCCACCCAACTGCCGCGCAAGGATTGTGTTCAAGACCAATGTGCTGGTGGGCTATACCATCTTCAGGGTCAACATGTCTAACGAGGTGCCCGGGAGCACAGCTAGCACGCCTCTGATTGGTAAGCAACCTTGGGGGAATCGGATGCCTGGCTTACATGACTCCCATCAAAGACCTGATGCTGCATTTCAGACCGGAGGCGTGAAAGGGCCAGGCACTCTGGCTAACTCCACCTTCTCTGGCTCCTTCTCTCAGGGGTCTTCTTCACAGTCTGCATGGCCCTCTTGGTTCTCAGCTTATCTAAGTCCGTCCTGTTGATCAGATGCCTCTGTGATGAATGGCATGGTGGGCAGGAGCGGCCCCTCTTGTGCCTTCCAGGGTACACAGATGCTGATGAGCCCAGAATGGAGCCCAGGGCCCAGCGTGCTGGAGTAACAGGTGTGTGAGAAGCTTTGCCATCCAACTCTGCCCTTATCGATCACTCTCAAAACTAATTTACATGGGTAATGTGTCACGTCGAACTATGTGGAAATCAGGCGAGGCGTGGCATTTTATGGTACCTCTCTGGGGACTGAAGGTCGCCTCCTGCCAGTCATCTAGAAAGCCTGATTTTAGCTTGGAGGCCAGGCTCAGCTGCCCTTAGCTTGTTGTTCTTTCCAGATTCAACCAATGATCTAAAGTGGTGGCGTCATTGACTCCCAAATAGTAGAGTGTTGGGGTACACACACACACACACACACACACACACACACACACACACACACACACACACAGACACACACACACACACACGGGCATATACATATACACACACATGGAGTTTGTTTACATTTGAGTTCTAGTTGCTTAATGTAAATAAGTATAGGAATCATCCCTGGTCAGGCATGCTCATGCCTATAAACCCAGCACTTTGGGAGGCTGAGGCAGGAGGATTGCTTGAGTTCAGAATTTCAAGACCAGCTTGGGCAATAGAGTGAGACCTCATCTCTACAAGAAATTTAAAAATTGGCCAGGTGTGGTGGTGTGTACCTGTAGTTCCAGCTATTCAGGAGGCTGAGGCAGAAGGATCACTTGAGTCCAGGATGATGAGGCTGTGGTGAGCTGTGATCTTGTTACTGCACTTGAGTCTGGGCAACAGAGTAAGACCCTGTCTCAAAAAAAAAAATTCATCCTCGCCTCTAAAGTGCCTACTGAGTCAACCTGGGCTGATCCTCGGCTCAGAAGGTCTCCCGGATGGACCTAGGCTGCACGCACCCTACTTAGGTAACAACTCTCACATGTTCTCCAAGGCTTCCTTCAGCCCAGCCTTGCCTCCCTGAAGCAGGTGAGGAGAGAGTCCATAACCCAAATCCAACCCACTGCTCACTCTTGCTCACAACTTTCCTTGAAGGATGAGGTCATCAGCTTCAAGGGAAAAATTCAAGTGAGCCTGGTTGCCCCTGGCTCACCTAAGGCATTTCCCTCTATCACGCAGAGTCCTCAATCTGTCAAGAGCACCAGGACCAGTCAGGGACCCTGAAGGAGGTCTGGTCCCAGCTTCACTCTATCAACAACTACCTCCAAACTCAGGACCAGATGGCTCGACAGGAGACTGAGTGGCTGGCCCTCCTGTACCGTTTTGACCTACTGCTCTTCCGAAGCTACCTTGTTGTGCTGGGACTCTACGCCATTACCCTGTGCTCCCTCTGGGCACTGTGGAGTGGCTTGTGAAGAATGAAATGTGTGGGTCTCAAGCAATGTGCTATCACAACACTTAGGGGAGAGGGGAGATCAGAGATGGGAAAGCAGTGGGTTAAAAGCCTTCCACCCCCATTGCCTCTTTTCACTGAGTCCAGGTGTGCACACCCAATGGGCTGCTGAATGGCCCAAAACAATGCACTCATGATGGCAATGTAGAAAGAGTATGAGGTGTACAGTAGAGAGTAAGCTTCCCTCCTTATCCCAGTCTGCTCCCCAAAGTAACTACCATTGCAATCTCTTCCAAAAAATGTATCAAAATGCACATGCATGTTTCATCAGTTTTTTTACAAGTATACGATCCCTCCATCTCTAAGCCCTGCCTTGGTCATTTATTCAGCCACTCTTTCAACACACCCTTTATTGAGTATGGATGAAGTTGTAGGAGTTATGCGAGGCAAAGCAAGTCCATCATTCTCCATTTGATTGGATTCCCACGGCCAGCTTTGGACTAACAAGAACACAAAGTTCCCTCCATATCCGTAAACTTCTGAAGCTCTTGTTCCCGCTATCCCAGCTGAGTCCCCTGCCTCTGCCTTCCTCCAGTGTTTCCACAGCAGAGCATCATCGTGGAAGAAAACCCAGATGCCAAGGCTGCTAGGCCCAATCTAACACAAGACTTAGTGAACATACACTGTGTGTAATGACAGAGCTGGAGGATGGGCATAGCCCATTGTCCTTTGTTCAAGGAATTTACAACCCACTGTCCCTGTATTAGTCAGTGAGGGCTGCCATGTTAAAATACTACACCCTGGGTGGCTTAAACAGAGGTTTATTCTCTCACCATTCTGGAAGCTACAAGTCCAAGATCAAGGTACCTGTACTATTAGTTTCTTGTGAGACCTCTCTCCTTGGCTTGCAGACAGCCACCTTCTTGTTGTGTCTTCACATGATCTTTGCTCTGTGTATGGACATGTCTACATGTCTGTGTCCAAAATTTCTCTTCTCTCTCTCTCTCTCTCTTTTTTTTTTTTAGTCAGAGTCTCACTATGTTGCCTGGACTGGAGTGCAGTGGCACACTCAAGGCCACCGCAGCCTCTACCTGCTGGACTCAGGTGATCCTTCTGCCTCAGCCTTCCAAGTAGCTGGAAATACAGGTGCACGCCACCACATCCAGCTAATTTTATTTTTGATTTATTGTAGAGACGGGATCTCATCATGTTGCTCAGGCTGGTTTTGAACTTCTGAGCTCAGGCAACCCTCTCACCTCCACCTCCCAAAGTGATGGGATTACAGGTGTGAGCCTCCATGCACAGCTAAATTTCCCCTTCTTATAAGGGCACCAGCTATGTTGGATTAGGGCCCAACCTAATGATCTCTTTTAACCTTAATTACTTCTTTCAAAGTCCCATGTCCAAATACATTCTGAGGTACTTGAGGTTAGGATGTCAACACATGAATTTTGGGGGCTGAGGGGAGAAGAGGGACACAATTTAGCCCATAATACTCACATGATTGTGAATGTTTGGCAGGTCTAGAATCTGTAGAGTGGGCTGGTGGGTTGAAGACCCAGGGAAGATTTGCAGTTCAAGTGCAAAGGTGTTAGAATTTTCTCCTCTTCCAGGAAGATCAGTCTTTTTCTATTAAGGCCCTCTTGCATTAAACAGGGTAATCTGTTCTACTCAAAACTGACTGATCTAAATGTTAATCTCATCTAAAAATACATTCACAGAAACATAATGTTAGACTAAATATCTGTGTAGTACATCCTAGCTGAGTTGACACATAAAATTAACCATCAACTGTCCACTGGCCCCTAAGCTTCACCAACTATACCCACAGTCACTCGTCCAGAACATGAGAACCCTTGTCACCCAGCACTTGGGTAACCATTCAACTTCTGGCACATACTCTCCACTAGCCAAATCTGGCTGAATAGCCTATCTTATGACAGTTCCTGTGGCCTCATAACCTGGGTCCTAGATCAGAGTTCAAGCCTTCGTGAACAGAAGAATATGCCAAATAGAAGCAGAGCCTTCTATAAAATACCATCCCCTTCTCCTTTCAAAGTCTTACATCCAAATACAGTCACATTCTGAGGTATTAGGGGTTCGAATATTAATTTGGGAGGGCAAGAGGATGGGGGACACAATTCAGCCCATAACAATCACTTACTTGTGGCGGTTTTGCTAAGCCAGAATCTGCAGAGTGGCCCAGTAAGCTAGAGACCTAGAAGCCTTCTTCTGATTCTTCTGTTCCTTTGCCAATCTGTATGTCAGCTGTCCCAGAGCCCTACCCTACATAGCCTTCCTCTCCATACCCCTTTCCACCTTATCACCCATGATTCTCCCCCATCTCCATCTTATGTTGCCCTGTATTCGTCTTCCTCTTAATGTTTTGTGGTCTCTTGTGTTTGTGTGTGATTTGTCCTAGAAGGGTTAGCCTGTTTTCTCTTCCTGGCTTATCCTCCATCTCTGCCCAGGTCCATAAAGAGTTTTGTGTCACATAGTGATTCTGTGATGATATTGCAGAGCAACTCATTCTAGCTCACTGCTGATGGCGGACACATGTCTAGTGTGTTTTCCCAAGTCTGAAAGACACAATCTACCCAAGGTCAGACCCCTAGCCCCTGAGCATCCCTCTAGCTCCCACCCAGGACAGTCATCAGGAGGTGGTTGGGTAGAACACAGCGGGCAGTGCAATATCATCCATCCTGATGCTGTCAGCAGAGGACATAGAAGTCCAAAGTTGTTTGCTGGAAACTTTTTCCAGCACCGAGATTGCCTTAAAAAAAAAAAACAAAAACTGTCCCCCCATCCCCCCGAAGAAAAAGAATTTAAATTCAAACAGCCTCTACCTGCATCCTTCCTCTCTCATTACCTCCCAGTTAGTGCTCAGCACCAATTGTCCATGAAATTCCACTGCTGCTGTTAATGAAATGAAGAACATAAGAAGTTTGTGAACAGGAAGTGTCCATGCAAACCTCCACCTGTTTCCTTTCTCGCTTCCTACTTTCTACGACTGGCCTTCTCTGTCTCGACGTGCTCAGTTAACCTCTGTCATGTCTCTGGCTTTCTCCAGTTCACAGAGGAGGAGAATGCTGCAGGGAACTCCTCGTTGCAGTCTGTCTCCTTCCCAAGCATGTCTTTGAGAAAGCACCAGTTCAAGAGTCAGGAGTCCTGACGACTGTGGTCCTGGCTCCATCGGTGTCTACCTAGGAGACCTTGAGCTTAACTTCACAGACCCCAACTTAGCTTATTTGAAATTGGGGCTATTTATACTTACTTTTATGCCTATGAATTATGAGGTTTAAAATGAAGCAATATAGTGAACAATGCTTTGAAAAGTAATACCTCACCAAGTAAAAAGAGAAGACCTGCCTACCATCAACAGATAGATTCTAATCTTGAGTCTTTGGTATAGGATCTAATTCCCAACTCCCTCTATCAGAATCCAGTTATGGGCTCTGGGTCTCCCCAGGGTACCTGTATTGCAGGACCCAAAGGCCATGGGCAGAGGGCCTTGGATGGTGGGGTTGCCAGAGGAACTTCCCATTCCATCTCCCACGTGGCTCACCTTTGCTCTATTCCCAGATAATATGGGCCAGGTTTTTTCTCTTTTTTTTTTTTGAGTCGTAGTCTCACTCTGTCGCCCAGGCTGGAGTGCAGTGACACACTGCTCACGGCCACTGCAGCCTCGACCTGCTGGGCTCAGGCGATCCTTCCACCTCAGCCTTTCACGTAGTTGGAACTACAGGCACGCGCCACCATGCCCAGCTAATTTTTTTGACTTATTGTAGAGATGAGGTCTCGCCAAATTGCCCAGGTCTTGAACCCGCAGTTTCAGGCAATCCACTCACCTCGGTCTCCCAAAGTGCTGGGGTTACAGGCTGAGCCACCGAGCCCAGCCTAGACCAGGTTCTTTATGTCAGTCTCTGAGAAGCAGCCCTTCAGGAGCGATCCCTAGTGACTAAGCAGGTCCCCACCAACCTGGACTCATTCTCTGTCTAGTGCCAAGTGGCCCTGATCTCAGCTGTAGCCAGGAACTCATTCTAAGCCTCCGGGTGGGGTCTGTATCCCTAAAGCAATGACATTATTAACAAATGGCACTACAGACCTCCTCCTGGAACAGTGTCCCTCTCTGGTGGAGGAATGTGGGGTGCCAGCCGCCCTTATTTACCGAGCAGCTTCAGCTCAGCCCCTCCAAATGTTCATGCATTTCATGATTCCCATTTCATCAAGGAAGGAAACTGAGGAACAGAGCAAAAATGGGATTCTCCCAGCTGTGAACGCTCCTACCATCTGCTGCTTCCCAGAACCTGAGGTAGTTTCATCATTCACCAAGAAATCACAGCTCCAGTTCTGAGGACATTAGGATGTCTAGAAGAAAAAACAGGTGAAGCACAGTCCCAGGCTGGCCAGGTCACAATCAGATCCTCACTGGATCTCAAGATAGCTTCCAAGTACCACTATATGGCCTCCCAGAACCTCTGCAGCTTTTTCTATTGTCAATATTCAGGTGGTAGGAGGGTCTCCCGTCTCCTCTCGAGATATCCCCACCACTTTCTGCAGTGGTCCTGGAGGAACAGGCGCTGTCACCATAAAGGAAGTCGAGTCTTTGGCCTCTATGACATAGGACGTCTTCCGTGGTCTGACTTTCCGCCTGGATGGGGAAGAGCCAGGAAGCAAATAAGAGTGGCCATGAGGTGAGCTATGTACCCCTGATAGAATCAGTCTTCCTCTGGGCTCAGCCTCAAGGCTTCACAAGGCTTTTCACTCCTCATTTCTCAGGGATCTAATTATACATCCAAAGGCACAGAAGTGGCAGAATCTAAACAGTACCCTGCCCTGAGCCCTGAGCCTTCTAGAAAACCCCAGAGCTTGGGTTTTAAGGTAAACGAGTTCCTCCGCCAGTTCCTGAGTGGTGCATGGCCACTCCAGGGCAGAGAGCCCAGGTCCTGTGTTCCCTCCAGAAGGCTGGGCCTCCCTCGATGCACCCTGTCGGTGCCTGGGGACCCACCTCAGTTGAGCTTA